GAGAAATTGAAATCATAAGAGAAATTGAAATCATAAGAGAAATTGAAATCATAAGAGAAATTGAAATCATAAGAGAAATTATGAAGTAGACCAATACTTTCAAAATATTTTTAGCCTCCACAATATTTGTTCAAAATGCTGTTGAACCTATCAAGGTATGTAAGCATATAGTATCAGATACAAACTTTTAAAGAGATGTTTATGTAGCACTTATTTTGCTTTTTCCTCAGGCATTTAGATGGAATAAAGCTAAGTGCTTTTGTATAGAGCATTTGATAAAATGCTGTTAGCTTTAGTACCTGTTCAACTTGTTGAAGGATTAAATCCTTTTGGCTTAAAGCAATGTGTCACATACTGCTAAAGGACACCAAAACTGAAACCTAGAAATCTAGACCACGTTAAAGCCTCTTCCCTTCCTGGAAGCCATAAGCCATATTTTAGTTTCTCCTTCTTCCCAGACACCCCTCTATGCCCAATGCTATTCAAAATGTTTCTTACCTTCTGCTGGAGCAATGATTTAGTTTTGTGCTTGCAATACTCTGGTGTTTCAACCCCAGTTTTAGAAGTCTAAAAGCTTCTTTAGAATCGGAAATCTGAACCCACTGCAGACCTTTAAGAAAAACAAATAAGACAGTTTTGAAAATAACAATACTAAAATAAGTATAAGGGCATAATGTATGCACAGCAAGGATACTACTTTTACTTGAGGCTTTTACTACACCTGCTTCAGACAAAAGTTATATGATGACAAATAAAACCAAAATGGCTCCTCTCACAGGAAAAAAAGGACAAGTATAATACATTATTTCATTCTGTTAGGACACTAAACATGTTTCATTCAAATTAAGTGAGCAACCTTAGCCTGAGTACTGAAAAGCCAAAAAGGTCTAATATGAGTAGAATGCCCTATATTCATATTCAGCAAGGCAGAATTCTACCTGGACAGCTTCTCTATTTCACACTACAGTCAGGGGGAAGGGAGAAGGGTGGAAGGGGAAGTCATCTGGACATCTTTCAGGGCCACCAACTTATGTGAAAAAGCAGCAGGCCAAATGCCTACAAAAAAGCCCTTACTCTAGAATTGGTGCCTTGATTGTTCAAAGAATCTGCAACAAATGAAATAGATTTAAAACTCTTTTTCCCCCATGACCTGAAACAAATGTTGAACTGTTATTTATTATCCCTACACTCTTGCAACCCAAAAACTGGTTTGATTACAGGTTTGATTAGAGATTAAAATCCAATTTGAAGTCAGACTGAACTTTCTCACGTATTCTCTGAAGTCTGCTTCTCTCTACAGAAAATACTGAAAACAAACAAAAATCTCCAAAACCGTTGAGCCAATTATAAATACAGTTAAGAACTACTAGAGTATTTAAGAAAATGGAAAAGAGCAAGCCACTAACAAATTTGTCAATTGTTTCCAATATTTATCCCATTTCAAAGAAATAGAGGCAGTGGAGTGCGGGGAGGCTTTCAACAGTTACAGTCACTCAAGGGAGGCATTTCCAGTGCCACAGTGAATGCAGTTAGGAGTTTTCCAATCCAGAAAGAAGTATTATTTCAGGTAGACAAACTTTTCAAACTACATTTGGCAATTTGCAACGTATTCTAGTCACCTTTCACAAAAGAACATCCCTTGATGTCTTGAGCAAGGCGCAGTGTTTTTCTTTTCTTGTCATTTGATATAGGAATCAGTAGATCATAAAAACATTCATTGTAAATCTCAAAAAATGAAACCCAAACAGAAAACTTGATGTAATTTCTCACAGTTGTGGTAGATTGTTCTGAGTCTTTCGAGGTATCTTCCAAATCTGCCAAGTATAAAACATTACCAGTCAATGTAGACCTAGCAAAGTGAGTTTCATTTAAAAAATTAATAAGTGAAAATTGATACTACAGCAACCTTCTAAAAAAACCTTAACTCATACAAAAATTCATTGAAGTTCCCACCCCCTTTCTTAAATGACTGGAAGTCACATGCTTAACCTACATATTTGCAAGAGACACTTACTGTACCACTTCCTTTTCCACTTTTAAATTTTATCAAGCACATACAGCTTGGTTAGAGTTATCCAAGTCTCTTAAGACAGAGAATTAAACTGACAAGCATACTTCACTTTGACTTTTTAAAGCAAACCTAGTATTTTAGTAGTTTTTAAAATGCTAGAATTAGATTTATAGAATTACATGCAGTTATTCTAAAAGCCTGTCAGGATACTACTAGGGCCCATAGCTTAAGTAGTACTACTTTTCCTATGACCTTTCCAGGTCATATAATGCCTGTTCAGGTATTCTAACCATTTTATCCTTAGGTTTTCTGCCCAGATAACTTGCTCATTATCCAATTCACAGGCATATAAAAATTGACAAGCAGTCACTTTATCATTAACATAGGCCAGAAATCAGTTACTGATGTTAAGAAAGCTTCTTTGCCAGCTTTTTTATATGAAACATACCTTTAGAATCAACAGGTGCATTGCTGTTAGTGCTAATCTGATGGTCTACCTACAAAAGAAAACAGAAAGTTTAAAACATATTGTTGGCAGTACAATACGCTACAAGTTACTTTTCTAACAGTTCTATCGTATTACTAAACAGGAATAGAGCATGTCTGCAGCATACCCATTGAAAGATTCTGGCTACACATCATGTCTAGTTCAATGTACCCATATACTGCTGTTGAAAGGGCTGTTCTTACTCCTTCCTGACACTTCCCTTACCTCAATATATGGCATTTCAGCTTTCTGAATCAGAAGCAGTCTAGCCACAGAAAAAATAAAAGACTCGGAGCCCACACAGAAACAGGGTGATTTAACAGGATGATTTGCAGGAGTCCAGTTGCAGTTTACACATTAGTCTTACACTGGTAAATCTAAAGAGTCCTGAAGTTTTTTGTTATTGGTATTTTGCTAATAGACAATTTCATATCTTACATCTTACTAGGCCAACCCTCAGAAACAGCGGTAAATGTAGAACACTCATTCACTTAAAAAAATTAAACTAGCAACTTATTGCTTCCTGATACATGCTTAAAATAAATGATACAGTGGAAATAAAGTCAAGGTTTTAGAAAAAAATTTTTTGCTGAGCTATTTTTTTTTCAAAAAAAAAAAAAGTAAACCATCCAAAACCCTATAGCTAGAGCTTATGATCTTCATACACTTGCATTCCCTTCCCAGTCTTAATTTTGGTTAGTTAGGTTTTTTATAGGCACAGACTTGCTAGTGAAAGTGTCTAAAGAAATTAAATTCGTCTACCAAATCAAGTATGCTTAAGTGAACTAACAAGAAGTAAAAAAAAGGTATGGTTTGGGTCAGGGTTTTTTAGTGTTCTGTGAAGAGTATTTTTCATATAAAGCTGGGATTCTGTAAGTGCTCCTGAAATAATGGAATACTTATGTAATCAAAACTTTTATATTTAAGCTTTACACATATAAATCACCCACCCAAACCTGTCTCTGCTGAAGTAGATGCAAACTTTGCCAACAAATTTATAAGCTTAAGTATTATTCTTATAACCACAGTTTTACAAAGTAGAGGGGATATATATGTGCACTCAAACACACACGTGACAGCCTTTTCTGAAGACTGCCAGACGTAGAGAGCATGTGCCTGTGCTTCTGAAGTGAAGTTGAAGAATTTTGCTGCCATCTACCTTCCACCCTGGAGCCCAGCTAACTAATGGATAAAAATCAAGGTAACAGACATGTTCCTTCCCACAACAGCCATTATAACCTAGCATACCACAAGGGAGATGCTTAATTCTTTTCATTAAAAGCAAAAAAAAAGCAAAATTGTACCTTTCTAGTTCCAAATCTTTGCATATGCTAAGTTTTATTTTACATTATTCCCCTCATTTCAGAATGAAAAGATACCAAGAAAAGGGTATGCTCATACAAAATACAAATCCCCATAACTGTAATTGGACTAAACAGTTTTAGAATTCCAGGCAACTCCTAAAACTGGAGTGTAATTCTGGACTGCTCAACAGTGAATATAAGAATAAAATCCAGCAGAAATTGATTTTTAATTCAAATCTGTAAGTCCACTAGTGTTACAGTTCTGCTGTTTCAAATAAATTTTTGCTTCCTTTGAAGATATTTGCCAAACTGAAGGAGGAAAACAACCTCAAAATCATTAATTTTTTTCAACTACCCTGAAAGACAGTAAGTTATTTAAAGGATCAGACCTACTAGTATTCCCACAGATAGGAAGGAGACTATTTGTATTCAGTTCTTATTTAGCACTAGTAAGCCCAGAGGATAAATTATCAGGTGCCCAAGCTACAGAAAAAAAAACCACTTAGAGTTTACATGTCCATCAAGTATTCAGCCACGAGACAGAAATCCACAGGAGAGCAGGGTTCATCAGCTCTATTGCTCACTTTACTGCTCCTGTGAATAGCTGGCTGACACCAGACATATCCATGCTTAAATACAGCTAGTCTCTTCCCACTGAAAAATGGAGAACATAGAACTATCTAAAGATGCATGTACTCATCAGTGTAGAAAGTGCTCCTCTACCTCCTTTATTAGGCGAAGTAGTGAATTTTTAATAGCAGTTTCTTCTCTCACTTGGTTTTCAGTCAGCTTTATATAATCTCTACACCGATGGGGTTTGAGATCCATTGCTGTGTATAGCTTTCCTTGAATACTTTTAAACAACAGATCCAAGGCCCTTGGCAGAATACCAACATCATCTTCTGTCCCTGAAAGAACACACAAAAGAAAAATCCATGTAATGCTAGAGTGAAATAACAGAAGAGGAAATCACGGCACCCAGTACACAACATTCTGCCCTGCCAATTTTTATCCAAGTCCTAAAACTATAATACCATGAAAAAGCTTCTAGTCTAAAAAGATGTCAACCAAAAATTCTTGAAAAACCACACAATATACCCTCCAAACTAGTCAAGAATGGAAGAACTGTACACTTCAGGAATTTTTGGGTTATTTACCTATTATTTATTAGGACAGAAAAGAGCAACTTGTTATTGCCCCAGATAAACGGTCACTGAAAGTACTGGCAGTAACCTTTAATTATAGTCCACCTAAACTGAAGATTGTTTAGAAAATAATGTCACTTCAATAAAGATCAGTTTCAGAAGGCACAAAGCTTATCGTCCTTCTACTATTTCTTTGTATAAAATAAGTGGTATAGCATCCAGAACAACATTTGATGATACAAAAAATGGTTTCCACATGAATCAAATCACTTTATTTGTTACAATGCTTTGAAAAATAACTGAAGAATGACATCTTCTGACCAGAAAGGATACGGAGCTTTAACAGAACAGAAGCATTGGGAGACAAGGTCTTCTAGGATACTATTAAGCTCAGGAACTCATGACAAGACAGAAATACACGAAAGTAATCAAACATATTTCAAAACATTTATTCTCTGTTTATAATAACTGAAACAGACTCAAATATTATTTCTTATTTGTGCATATAAGATGCATGTAACCATAATAAGAAGAAGAAAACTTGAGAAAACACTAGTCTGGTGTAGAAAAACTCATACTTTTCACATCTTATTATAGAGAACATTATTTTCCCAACTCCCCCTCATTCCTGACATACTAGATACTTAGAGGAAAAAAGCAAAGTCTCACAGACCTGGTTGAAATTACTATAGCCTTACAAAGCAATGTGACTGAGTGTTTATGTAAACTCTGGCAGTGACTGTCTGTTGGCATTTATATTTGTTATGGAAAGAGACTTTCGAAGACTATTTATTGATATTCAAGAGAAGCCCATGTACAGGGCCTACAGTTTAAATGTAGGAAAAAGTTATAATACTTCTGCTAGAAGTAATCCTTAATTAAAAAAAAAAAAAGGAAGTGTATTCAAGAACTTGTTTTCACTTATACCTTGGAAAGTGTAAGTTTTTCCAGCATTTGTAACGCCATATGTAAAAACAAGACGATTACATCCATCTAGGAAATCTTGCACCGGTTCCTTCATGGTACCTTCAAAGAATTCTTCTTGAGTTGTTTCAGGTCCAAACACCTGAGTATTACCAAGAAACATTTATACTTTGTTTAAGCAATCATTATTGACTTTTAAAGGGTCTTTTAAATTCTTTTTGTTTACAGTCTTAAAGACTGCAAAGTTAAACAAAAAACATAGTTTGTTTGATATTAAATAATATAAGTTAAACAATGTACTCCAGGAATAAATTAAAAACTTTCAAAGATAACTCATTTACTCGTGAAAAAGTGAACTTCTGTATCATCTGTCCAGCAGTTTTTTCACTTAGTCGATTCAGACAGTGGTGGGGGGGCTTCAGTATGATGTTTGTTGAGTCTTCAAGTGAAACACAGTCCTATTAAAAGGAAACACAAGCAATGCGGGCATGAAGAGAATATAAAGAGCCCATTTGCAGGAAAAAACCAAACAAATAAACTCCCACAAAACAATTTTAAGGTATTTTGAAACTAAATAAACATCACACCTGTGATCCATTTTCTCTTTCCAGTGCTGTAAATGGCCTAATACGCAGGCAAACTTGTACGTGTCCCTTAGAGTCCAAACTGCTCCCCTTAGAAAAAAAAAATTAAGGAAGTTAGACTCTTTATCCTTTGTCTAACAACTAGCATGTTAAGGCAGTTCTATTTAACCAGGCTGTTTTGAATAGACTTATTTGATAACATGTGAATCAAAAGTAATTCCCTACATCATTTTTTACAAATGCTTAGGCCCCTGCAGAAGTTGGCTGTGATGAGATAATCTTGTAGCATATACATATTTACACTGCATTCAGTCCAACTAGAGATAAAGAATGACACCCATAAAACATTCTATGAACTGGCAATTAGCTTCATTCAGAGCAAACTGATGTGCCCAATAGAGCATCAAAGCAGTGCCACACAACTTAGTCTAATCCTATGCATCTCTTCCAAATTTAAAACATACAAAAGATGCTTTCCATGTAAAATTCTGACTATTCTTATTGATGAAAGGACTAAGCTTATTTTGTAAAAAATAAATGTCAAAGCAATCCAAACATTAAAGCTTTCGTACCTGGCTTGTGTCCGAGCTTGAAGAAACCAAAGAAAATTCAGAGGAGAGATCTGTTTTAAGATCTTCCACACTTACTGGTCCTGATCTTGGAGATAGCTCAATGCTAGAAATATAGGATGGTCTGTAAAGTCTGTCATTATCCAAAGTTGGATCCATTCTGCAAGATAAAATAAAACTATTTTGTGCTCCCCGATCATATAACATAGAGCTTCTGAAGTCCCTTAGAAGACAGTCAATTTTAAACTGATAACTGCAATTTCTTTAAGGAGAAAGCTTTCTTCATCCTATTCATAATTTACATAGCAAGTTGCTGGTAGCTGGGGAGTGGGCCTGCAGAGGGCTTTGCATCATGATGAATCAAGAAGAGCCATTCTGGTTTAAACAGAAAGCACCTGTTAACCAGGGAAAAGCCTTACACATATGCCACAAACTTGTTTCTGACAAGGAAGATACAATCTAAAAACTAATCTTATTGTTCCACATCAACTTCATCGTCCCACTGTAGTGTCCATTTAGAATGTCATGGTTATCTCTGCAGGACTTTATAAATATTTGATGCTATAAAGATAACACAATGTGGGATAATACAGAGTTCAGAAACATTCCAAAGACTAATAGACAGTTTCAGCTATTAAAGGGGCACCAGAAAACTAGAAAACCTCATGCTAGAGTACAAATTAAAGTATTGCTTTCTAGTAATTTTACAGATCAGCAGATTAGTTTATTAATCCATAATTTAATTATTTTTGGGCATTTCTGAATCTGAGCAGTGAAAATTTGCTATAGAAAATATAAGTTAAGTGATTTAGTGTTGATAGTAGACAGGTAAATTTCAACATAGCCTTTAAAAAGTGCATTTTATTTTTAAACATTAGTATACTTTTTTTGCACTTTACTCTCCTATTCCTTTTTCCTGTGATATTACAAGTGTAACATGGCAGGCTTTGTTACAGATTCGGTTTCAAACAAGTCACTGGGCAATTACTAATATACTATGGCAGCAAGGAATCCAGCAAATAGACACCTACCACATGATCTCCTACATTTTGAAGTTTGGACACAACAATTCAATGGTCTCCTAGTACTACGTTCCCACGCCTAAGTTACAGTAAAGCATATAAATTGTTTCTTTAAATACTGAAGGAGAACATGCACTGTTCATCAAAACAATGGATAGAGCAGGGCTGGTTCAAAACTCCTTTGTTCAAAAAGAGCATTTGTTGCCTACCTGTTAAGCAATCCTATCTTCATTTCCCCCAGCAAAAAAACCTGAGAGACCTCTGCACTTCAGTGTCAAAATACTTAACAGCTCAATCTTCCTATCTAAGCTGCAAAAGGCAGACAGAGACCTCTAAGCAGCTAGACAATGTCACCAAGCTGCAAATGAGGTAAAAATATACATAAACTAAGCATCAATGTTTACTTTGTTTCTTCTAATCTACATTTTTAATTTTTGTCAGGCAACTGTATGAAAACCAGGAAAAATGTGGCCCAAAATATCATCACGGCTTGAACAAAGACTGACCTGTGAATAAGCTACAGTTGGAAAGAAACGTATCTGTGCTATCACGATTTGAAGTCTTATTCATCAGCTACACAAGCTACACTGCAAAACTCTTATCAGCCCTTTACAGGAAATATATTTGTCAGATAACTGACTTTTTAATTGCTTTAAATATAAGCTTTAAGTGTGATTTGTCAAGATTATGCTCTCATTCTGTATCTTTTTACGTAAGAGGCAAAAAGCAAACATCGAGCTGTGTTCCAAAGCTGGCACTAGAAGTGTTTACATAGGCTAGCACTCAGGGTAGTGAGGTTCAACCCTGACAGAATGCAAAGCCCAAGGTGCAGACTATATATCTGCCTCCACATGGTGTCACACAGCACTGCAATTGCTTCAGATATTCTGGTGTAAACAACTATATTGCCTGGCTGCAGCCACTAAGAAGTAAGTGTATACTGTGTTATTATAACTCTACTAACCGCGGCAATAGAGCTGCAGATACCCTAAAAGAAGGGGATCCCCAGTGGCACACACAGCAAAGCGTGGTCACAACACACACGTGCAGCCTGCAGCAGTGCCAGGCAGCACAAGGCAAGGTAGAAAAAGCTCCAAACCACATTGGAGCCTATATAAAACCTAAAGCATCAGCCCTTACACTTAAAAAAAAAAAATGAAGAGGAAACTCTCCTCTCTGCAAATACAACCTCTCACTTCCAGGCTTCGCAGGCTTTGCCCGTTCCTACGGGACACAACCGCCGGGGCTCTGCCCCAGCACGGCCTGGCCCGGGCGTTACCCACGCCCTGCACGAACACCGAAAACTGCGCGCACCCCGAGCCCCCACCACCTTCCCTCTGCAAGCGAAAGCCCCGCACCCCGCAGTGGCTGCCCCGACCGCCCATTCCAGCTCCCGCTCCCATTCCCATCCTGGTTCCCAGCCCCGCTCACCCGCCGCGTCTCTCCCTCGCACTCCGCACCAGTCGCGGCTTCTTTTCGAATCCGACCAATGGCAGCACTCGGCGCCGCGCGGCCTCCTGGGAGTGCGGTGGCGCAAGGCCCGACGGGAGGTGTAGTCCCGGCGGGGCGGGGCTGCCGTGCCCCGGTTGGCCCTCCGGCGGGGTCGGTGCGCTCTGAGGGGGCTGTGGGGGTCTCGGTACCGCCGGCACTCGGGGCCGCCAGGGCCCGGCCCCGCGGTGGCGAGAGCAGCAGCAGCACCACCACCATCTCGGCTGCCGCAGGAAGGCGCCCTGGCCCCGCCGGGCCTGCCCTCACCTGCCTGCAGCGCCCGGACCTCGCCTCCCTCAGGCGCGGCAGAAGGACGTGTGTAAGTTCAAACCTGTCAGCGCTCGGGGTGGTCACAGCGGTGCTGTTTCCACGGCCATTTGCGGTTATCTGGTTATAAACGGGATAATTGCAGTGGTGAGAGGGAAGAGGCCAGGTGACCTGCACAAGCTGCAGATGCCGTGTATCAGGGCAGGGATCAGCTGAGTTGGGAAACACCTCCTGTAAGTCCAGGATGTGCTTGTGCCTTTGTGGCAGGATAGACCCACCCTCATTAGACCTAAAATCCAATCAAGCTATCATGCAAGATCAACTGCTCGAGCCAGGGTGTTGTCTTGGTGTTACTTACGCTAAAACCATCCTGGTTCACTAGATTTTGAATAAACACTCTGCTTTTTGAAGTCTGATTTGACAGATAAGATGATAGCTGGCCTGCAAATGTATGACTGGTAGTCAATCACTTTATACTATAAAAGTCCAGTCCCCTCTCACGAAGTCAGGTTCTTCTGACATAACCCTTCTTGGGGTATGTGTGTGGAGATTCCTCCCTTGGCTAGGGATGCCCTTCAAGTATACTCAAGATAGAGAGAAAGAGATCTCCCCACTAGTGTTGGTATGGGTGAGTTATATCAGATGTCTACTTAATAATTATTTCTTTTTGCTAATATAACTTTCAGTAATTGCTTTGTCATAGTGCACTATACTACTTTATGCTATATTATACTCTATTAGTAGATTTTTAGGGTTTATATTGTGTAGTAAATAATTCTGATTAAGATTTTTCATCTGTTCACCTGTTAATTTGTCATAATAAATAATTCGTTTATATAAATATATCTGTTTTGACATCATTAAAACCTGCAGGACAAAGTGGTTTAATCACACCTCTATAACTCCTTTAAACTGTTAATACAGTCCAAGGCTAAGATAGGATTCAGCTGCACCTAAGCCCTTCTTTGAGGAGGAGTTTAGAAAACAAGGGAATCCTTTCTGTACCTCGAGACTCACCAGCAAGGCTTTGCTTTTTACTAACTTTGTCTAAGCCTTCCATTCTCACCCACGACAGCCTTACCCCGTGTTCCAGTCCTGACGAACGACAGCTGTTCTAAACACTTAGTAAGGGACCTTTGTTTAAAACCTTCCCCAGACTGAAATTATTGCTGGGTACCAGGTTTGCATGATGGGCATTTGATTTCTTAATCAACAATGAGAGAAATCCTTCACCTTTATTTTCAAACCAATGTCATAACACCAATCAGATCATTGTTTTCTAGAATGTCAGAGTATGGGAATGTACAGGATTTGGTAACAAAAATCACCATTAGTTTCTCTCAGAATCAGACAGAAATTCTTTGAACTTTAATAAGGAATGTGTGCCTGTTTTAAATTGGAATAAAAGGACAAGTAACTTGAAAGTAGTCAATATCTGCCAAAACCAAACGTTTGTTTTTCATTTGAAGAAAAGAATGCCAGCGAGACCAAGCAATTCTGTAAAGGAATAATTCTACACAGATCCTGTATCAGCTGCTTTGATGAGGTTGTCTTTGGGATTAATTCTGTCTTTCTTTAAAGAGAGGCTGTGTCATATCAGTGAAATATGTATACTTGATTTCAGTTCGGATGTAGGCCATGTTGCAGGAGTTGGTCTGTTTTAACAGCAGAAAATGATGCAATGTTGAATTTGAAATTGTTTGCTAGCAAAACTGAAAAGTTCTTCAAGTCATTCTTTGACTTAGGCTCACTTTTTTAAAAGTATCTTGGTTTCTCTCCTAAACAGAATTAAAACTACTGAACTTTCCTAATGCCAAACCAACTTTTTCATACCAGAAGGAGACTGAGAATGACTCTGAAAGAAAGGGATCAAACCTGATCAGTGTCAAACTTGATTTGTGTCCCGTAGGAACGGGCAAAGCCTGCGAAGCCTGGAAGTGAGAGGTTGTATCTGCAGAGAGGAGAGTTTCCTGGGATAAAACCTTACAGCTGTTCTCTTCTACTTTTTGGAAAGGAAAATTGAAGATCTTCTTGAAATATTTTGCAAGGTATATTCCTAAAAAGATTGGGTTCTATGTCTTGCAGAAAATTGTTCTTGCTAAGTTGGGGCATAACAAAGCTCATGGTACAGGCAATATTTTGATTGTGTTTGAATATTAGATTTCTAAAACTGTTTTTATAATACTGCACATTTTTAAATTTTAATTTGAACTAGTATCTCAAAGGACTACTATTAGCATACTGAAAGAGCAAACTAAACCACAATCTAACATGTGTTCCTAGCCTCACACAAACCGTGATAAAGAAAACATTAGGTCAGCATAACCAATCCAGCTTCCTTTGGAATGGGAGATGAGGCAACTTCATCTATGTATATAAGCTTTATGGCTTTTCACCAATATATTCTCCTTAAAGAGGGTTGTGCAATGATAGCCAATTGCAAAAAGTATATCTGCTGCCAAAACATCATTCAGAAACTCATTCACCCCTGAAATTTGATTATGTTTCTTTTCACATTCTCTATAACTTGTGTAGCAACTTGCCACTCCCAAGGGGAAAAGATTTTTATAAATGACTTGTTACCATTACCCTTGGAAACTTATATTTCTTTTATTTGGGATGGGATTCAAAAGTTGTGTATAGTCTATTCATCTGAGTGATGATATCCTATGAGACAGCATTTCTCAACTTGCTTTTACATTGCTGTCAGAAGTAATTGGAGACACAGTCAACACTGCCCAGCATCCTTCAGCACATCTGAGCAGCAGCCAAACCAGAACTGGCTTTGGTTTCTTTGTACTCAACTTACCTTCCCCAGGGAATTAACAAAGTACTTCAGTTTTCCCTCATCAGTCTTGGTTCTGCTGTGGTTCCTCATGCCCTGACAGCACTGCCTTCCCATCCTGGATGCAGGCCAAGTCCTTCTGCAGGGTTCATTTGGGGCCAACTGGCAAGAGCACTCCTGTTTGTTGTCACAGAGATGTCTTGGAGGAAAATGGTGCGTTATGTAATACTTCTGGTAGTCTGCCATGCCAGCCCTTTTTAATCCCTATCTTTCAGGGCAGTTAGTGTTGTTTATCCTTCTTATTTCCACAGCCTGGTGGGTGCATTTCCTTTAATCTGATCCTGTACCCTCACTGCCCCACTACCATCAGTTGCCTTCAGGGTGACACTATTTCTAATGCACATACAGCTAATTTTATGAAGTCATGACTTCACAGGCTGTTCGTTTGCTTATTTTTCTTTAGCAATGTAGGTATGTTTTCTTTTATGATCTCTTTTAAGCAATGAGCTACTTCTTGAGTCTCAGGGGTGCTCCCTGGCTTGGAAGGCTTTGCCACAGGGATAGGTAGTGGCTTTGGGACAGGGATATCTCAGTGGTGCTGGGCAGAGAAGGGCAGTTGGCCAGGGCATCGGGCCCTTTCCCTGAGGGAGGCAGGAGCTTTCTGTCCTCAGCCTGCAAATGCTGCTGCTGTTTCATGGCTAATTTAGTTAACTGAGTAATTATGGGGTTTTGGGCGGGGCAGGAGGAAAGCTTCACTGGAAGGAGCTGGTTGTGAGGCTACTCCATTGAGGTGCTCTAGGAACATGAAATACAGTTTGGAAAATGAATCATAGATTCACTGACAAAGAGGGGACTTGAGGAGCATATCCTAGTATGAGAAAGCTAGCCAGGATGCTGGGAAAAGAAGGAGGAATCACTGATGGTTAGCGAGAGGCAAACTGTAATACCTGGTGCTGGACTTCGGCCTTAAAGCTTGGGCTCAGGATGCTTCCCTGGGCTAGCTGCTCCAGTAAGGAAGGTGCTGGGGATACCTGGGCTCTGTGATCACAGCTGATTAAAAAGTCATTCACTGAGAGAAGACAGAGAGCTCACAGCTGGAGACATGTTTGTGTTAAGAAGGCTTGTTCAGGTACTCCCATGCGTGTTCTCCTCATAGATGCAGTGAGGCCACCTGGTCCCATGCCAGTGTTTTGTGTAATGAAAACATGCTACATGTGCTCAACATAACATTTTTAAATCTTTATAGCTTCACATGAAAACCTGTGCATGGCAAACATAGTATTACTCCTTCAACAAGAGCTTTACTGTCTTACATAGGAGAAGATTTGAAGCATATATTCTGAAATACATCTGAGATGTATTTCTTTCAGTTTGTATAATTCAAGACTTTGGGAAGAATGCAACTGAGACAAAAAAATATTGCTGTTTCTTCCTGTTTTTCCCCCAACCCTCTGGTATTCCTTCTGTGCCTCTTTGAATTATTGCATAATTCTCTGATGAGCTAAAGAGATTATTTCAGCTATAACCAACCTTTTAATCTTGTAATTGAACCAAAAAGTTTCAAAATCAATTATTCTCTGTAATGCATTAATATAAGTAATCACTATCTTGAAGGTCAGATCTAGCATTTTGAAATCAGAACCTTCTACAGCTCATCAACAGGCTTCAAACATACCTGAAGACATTGCGTCTTGGATCATTATTCTTACCAAGCATTTCAGTGTACTTGGGTTGTCAGGTTATTTTAGTTTGAAAAGCTTTTTCATAAGTGT